GCTGGGTGACTCCAGAAACCCCAGCCCCTTCCCTGGGAGGATGTGTCTGAAGAGCTAAGAAGGGATCCTGGAGTCCGCCTCCCAGACTGGGCACAGCTCTGGGCTCCTTGCTTTCCTCCACCTTTGATGGGGACTGCAGCATGGGGTAGGCACCAGGCAGGACTGTTGGGGACCCCGCCCTGTCCTCTTCCCCTGCCAGGCTCAATACAGAGTGAGTGTGTGCCACTGCATGGAGCTTGTACAAGTCTATTGCCCGCACGAGCGTGCACACTGGTGTCTGTGTGTGCTCATACGTCCGTGTGTTTGGCTGGGTGCACACACAAGAACATATGAGTTTGTGCATGTGAGCGTGCACAAGTGTGAGACCATCACTTCCACCTGGTCTGCCTGAGCCGTGGCCCTGCTCCAGCCTGCAGTGGTGTGGGGACAGGCACCAGGGCGGGTCGGTGGAGGCCGGTCCTGGCTACGGGGCGCTCACTGGGAAGGGCGCCTTGATGAGGGGAACTTTAAATTGTTCCTCAATAGGGGAGGGAGAGTAGACAGGGATAGAGAAAGACCAGGCACACACACACACTCACACACTCACACACACAGACAGAGACACACACACACAGACACACACACAGACACACACACTCACACACACACACACATGCTCAACACTCATCGACATCATCCCTCTGTCCGTCCGTCCATCCATCCATGCATCCATCCCTCTATCCATGCCTATGATCTATCTATGTCTACCTATGATATCTATCTCCAACCATCCATCCATTCATCCACCTGTCCATCCATCCATCCATCATCTCTATTCTGTCTGTCTGTCTAGAAAGACAGAGGACACAGGCCCAGGAGAGGCAGAAACAGAAAGCACGTGGCCACGCTTCTGGAGCTCAGGCCGGCTGTCCTGGCGAGGGGCCCACTCCTAGCTCCAGAGCCCAGGTGGCCCTGCCCCACTGGGTGACTTTGAGGAGCCCCCTGCCTCTCTATTTGATGCCTGTTCTGAGGACTCTGAGCCCCAAGCCCCCAGAGTATGTGGCCAGTTCCTCCCTGCCAGCTCTGCTCCTCCCAATACCCTACAGGAAGTGGGCCCAGGCTGCCTCAGGGCCTGCCCCAAATCTGTTTTCTTCCCATTTTGCCTGGGCACATAGAAAGACTTTATTTCTCAACCTACTTTTTAACCAGGTACAGCTTAGCAACTAGATTATGGTCAGTGAGATATAAACAGCTTCAAGGAAGCAGCTTCTTTAAAACACAGTTGGTAGACACCCCTTTGCTTCTTCTTCCTCCTTGTCTCCTTCCTGGCTGGAAGATAGATGTGATAGCTGACACTCAGGCAGCTATGGTGGGCCATGACGAAAAACCTCCATCTACTGGGTGAATGTCTGGCCTCTGCAATTCTGTTACATGAGGGAGGAATAACCTATCTCACTGAGGCCACTGGTATTTGACTTTTCTCTTAATCAACCTTAATCATAACGGGTAAAATAGAAGGCATTTCTTTTGTCTGGCCTTCCTTTCTAGAAAAGGGAATCCGAGCTGCTCAGAGCTGGTGGGGGATGTCTGCACAGCTTGAAGAGACAGGTCTGACAGAGAAACACTTTCAACAGCAATAACAATACCACCCTGACACAGACACAAACAGCATTCTGAACCGTGGTGACTTCAGGGTCCGTCTGCTGCCCCTGGGACGCCCTGCTCCTCAGGTGGCGGGAGCTCGTGGTCTCCTCTATCTGCAGCCCAGAGCCTGGCACAGGGGCTCCCTTGCAGATGCCAGGTGGAGGATCTGTGCCCAGCAGGAGGTGAGGCTTCTCCCCTACAAGACGAAGCAACCAGAGAGAGCAGCTGTTTGAGTCAGGACCCCGGGAGCTGGCTGCCTGCTCACTGACCTGTTGTCCACTGGAGCTTGTGTCCTATTGTGACCATGTCCAGTCAGTGGCCAGCAGAGCTGAAGATATTTCCTCTTTGGCCTTCCCAGCCTCAATTTGCCCCCAAACGGTTGTTCCAATATGGAAAAGAGGAGATAAATTCAAAGCCACTGGGCATGGAGGAAGTGCTGTGTCCACACTGCTGGGCGCTGGACTGCCCCCTGGCACTTGTGCCCTGTAAAGTGAAGGGAGGTGGAGGGTGGCAGGTGAGAGCCCACAGGAGGACGGTCACTCTGGAAAACCCTTCCTGTTCACACCTACACCTCTGCCTGATGCCCCCAGGGAAATTGGGAGCTCCTGGATCCCCCAGGGCCAGGGCAGTCCCAGCCTGCAGGTCTCCCCTCAGCCTTGTGATGAGGCCCACGCTGCCCTCACAGCCTGGCTGCCGAGCTCACCAGCGGAGCCCTGTCGGGCACATCCAATTCCGCCGGGCTCCTCATCAAAATGAGAAATCTGCGGCCGGGGCAGCTGGAGCTGATAACTTGCTCTCAGGTGGACCCCTCGCTTATCACTGCTGGAGTCACCTCTGTCTCCAAAGACTTGTTTTCCTAGAAAAAATTGCCTGGGGGATGTGCAGTGGGGTTGGCAGTGATAAAAGCGGGGCGTAGAGGGAGAGAAGAAGAAAGAAAAAGAACAACAAAGAACCATGGTGCAGGCCTGGCTGTCGTGCAGCTCCCATAGCAGCACCCCAGGGCCCCACCGCCCTGGCACTGGGGAGCCTGGGCTCATTCACAGCGGGTTCCGCCACATGGCCACTGCCAGCCCACGAAAGGGTCCCCAGCCCAGACTCGGCTGGCTTTGAGTGGCCAGCAAGGTCTGAGTGTGTCCAGGAATCAGCAGCACAGCAGGCGCAGCAGAGCAGCCGTGTAGGACAGTGCAGGGCTCCCCTCCCTGCCACGCCGCACCTGCTCCAGGCTCCGCTCTGCAGAGCCCCGTGGCCTCCGCGGCAAGTCTCAGTGTCTGCCCAGGCGCTCAGTGCCCACTGCGCATCTCCATGTCCTCCTGCCCTCTCCCTGGCCCTGTCCTTTGTGCCCAGGCTGCCCCTCTTCCCTCTCCTGCTCCAGCTTCCCTGTGCTCTGCTCTCTTGGGCTGTGCCCAGAAGTTTCTGGCAAGGACTTTTTTCCTCTCTGCCCCTGCCCTTGCCTCAACCTCCCCACGCAGTTAGAGGAGGGGTAGGGGAGCCCAGCCTTCTCTGGGCCACCCTGGGCCCTCAGTGCACCCTTCCTTCAGAGGCCCGAGACTCAGGGCTCAGGGCTCGGGGCATTGGGAGTGGGGAGCTGCAAAGCTCAGTGCTGCCCCGACCGCCCTCCTGTCTGCACGCTCCACATCCCTCAGGGTGCCCTGGCCCTGTGAACTCGCCCAGCAAGGTGGTGAGACCCCAGGGGGCCAGAATGAGGTTCAACTCTGGCTGGGACACTTACCAGCTGAGTGATCCTGGGAAAGTCATTAAATATCCGAGTCTCAGTTTCCCCATCTGTGGATCATGAGAGTGACCTAACCTGCCATCTAGGTCAGTGTGAGGGTCAAATGCTTTGAATTGCACGAGACACGTAAGACATGAACTACCTAGCACACTGTGAGCGTTTCAGAAATATTACATTTTGTTGTTATTATAGGGAAATCACAAGAAAAGTGAGCAACTATATTCTGTGTGGAGTTAGAGAAGAAAGAGTATTTTAGTTGGGGTCTTGAGGGGTACCTAGGAGTCTGTCACACTTCCAAAGGACTCCCCCCCACCCCCAGGTTAATGTCCAGCATGAGCCAACGCCCGCCATTCTATAGACAAGGAAACAGAGATTCGGAGGGGAAGTAAGCTTTCGCCACTGTTATAAATCCCAAAGAAAAGAGTGTGGCAAGCCTGTAGATTGACGTTAGCAGTCACCCTGGCCTTGGGCCTAGATTCTTCGAGTTTAATGGGAACATAACTTTCCCTGATTCCTTGCCTCCCTTCCATCTGTCCCTGTTTGCTCACCTGTGAGCAAACACAGAAGCAGCCTTTCCAACTCAGGGGCGGGGCGGGGCGGGGCGGGAGCGGGTGCGGGAGCAGCCAGCCGTTGGCAGCTCCCCCACCGGAGCTGAGCAGAGCATGCTTGGCCAGCAGATGCTGGCAGCAGTGAGAGCAGTTCTCCCAGATCAGCTGACTGGCACAGGAGCCCGCAGATCCAGAGCGCAGCCCCCGCCAGGCCAGGCGCCGCAAAGTGCTGTGGGTTTGCTGGGTCTCCGGGCTGCGCGGAGGAGCCCGCAGCCTCTGTGCCCTTCTATCCCACCCACCGTTGCTTTCTCTGGCTCTGAGCAGCTCCGGGCAGGAGGGTGGGGACAGGGCTGCTCCTTCCCCTGGCTGCCTGGGATGCAGGCTCCAGGGAAGGTCTCTGAGCCGCAGCACACGCCTAGGCTCAGTCCGTCTTGGTGGCCAGGCTGGGCGGCTTCAGCAGCACCCTATGTCTCCTCCTGGACCCAGCAACTTGTTCCTGAAGTCCAGGCCAGTGGGACTGCAGGGTCAGGGGTGGTGGTGGGTCTCTGGGAGCCTCCAGCAGCAGAGGAGCCAAGAAAGAGGCCATGGCTTGTACACCCTAACCCTAAACCGCTTCCTTCCTCTGCCCATCATTGTCCTGGTCACCTGCTGGATGCCTGTCGTGGGGGGTCCCACCAGGCACCCCAGCAAGCCCCCTTAAGGACGTCTTTCCTGCCTCTGCCGGTTCCAGGGTCCTGAGCTTCCAGGCTTCACCCAGGGTTCCAAGCAACCCACAGCTCCTGGAGCCTCTGGACCTTTCCTGGTCTTGAGGATTTGAGAGGAGCCACAGGCTCATCTCCCCGCATCAATGACTTGAGGTCAAACGGAAACCAAATGAGCCTTTGATGGGAGGAGGGAGCATTTGTCCAGAAAACCTGGGACATGCACAGAGCCACCTAGCACCCCGAGCAAGGAGCAAGAGCGGCTTGTTGATTTGAGTCACAGAACCCCACAGAACCCCTGCAGACCAGCCCTAGAGGTCCTGCAGGGTCCCTTCTACCATATTCTGGTCACCAAGACAGGAACAAGAGGCTGCCCATCATCTAGGGGTGGGTCACATTTCCTTTTCAGGTGGGAGCAGTGTCAAAGACCTTGCTGGCCTGTTCTAAGACACCCGGCCCTGGTTCTATGGCTACGGAACCTGCCCTTTTATTGGGAGATGTGAGGCTGTGCTGCTCCAGGCCAAGAAACTTCCACTGCTGGGCCAGAGAGAAAGTGTGCCGCAGCCAGGCCAGAGCTGCACACAATCACAGGCCAAGACTCCTTCAAAAAAGAGAGGGTAGGAGCAAGAGACAACACACTTCCTTTCCAAATACTAAACAAATACACAAACATGCAAGTATATAATTGCCTTGCTTGACAATCACTCTGTTAGCAAGGGACAGGATGTTCCTAAGGGTGACGGGGTGGGCTGGAGAGAGGGAATGGCATCTTGGGTGGGGTGATTAGGGATGGTTTGCAGAAGAGATGGTTCCCAGTGGGCTTGAAGGCTGGGAGGCAGCCAGCTGGGAAAGGCATTTCAGGCCAAGTGTAGCCGGTGCAAGGGCCCTGTGGTGTATTCAGGACTTGGGCTGCCATGTGACCGGAGGGCAGAAAGGAGATCAGGGCATGGCAGAAACGTCTCGGTACACTGTCATAACAGCCAGACTTTGAGTTCGGGTTTGAGTCCACAGCAGACAACAAGCTCACCTTCATTTTATCCATGTTGCAGCCAGGTGCCTGGCCTGTGCCTGTGGTCCATCGTCGAAGTCTGCGGTTCCTTCTCCCACCTCTTTTCCGTCGTTCATCTCCATCTCACCACAGTGATTGACAGGTTGGACACGGATGGCCTCTGCCCCGATCCCACAAGCCCTCAGAGCTCCCCAGCCCCCTCCCACACTGGCTCCCTCAGCCGTCCTGCCCCTCCATCAGGCTGGGCCGCACAGCTCCAGCCCCTTGTCCACCTGCTGTGAGTTACCTGCGCGCCTCCTTTGGGTCTGAGACAGGAACACTCTCAACAAGTGGCAGCAGCAATGAGGCAATGTTCCCTTCACCCAGGTGCCACCCACACGTCACCCACGCTACCAGCCCCTCCACGGCTCCCAGGTACACCCAGGCCATCCAATCTAAATAAACAAGCCCCCGAACAGAGCCAGGTAATGGAAACGGTGACAGACCCTTATCTACAGCATCTCTGGGTGTGCACGGGTCTGTGATAATTTGGGTCTCACTGAGGCGGAGGAGTTATTGTGATTCTGTGGTGCCTATGACAGTTTAATCAGACCTTGAAAATCAGGGGCATTACACTGTGCACCTGCTCGTGGGAACAAAAAAGGGAAAAATACGGTCGGGAGAATTTTCATCATTTTTTTTTTAATCCCAGGCAGGAGCTAGCACGTGAGCTAGTGTGGGGAAGGCAGCAATGGGTCAAGTAGGATCCAGGGTCATGCCGAAGGGGGACTTGACTGGGGGAGGCAGAATGTGCATGGGGCCTGCTTTCATCTAGCCAGGCTGTGTATCTGGGGATGCAGCCATGCTGGGTGCAAGATAAACCGGGTTCAAGACCTGAACCTTTCCTCTTTCCCCTCTTCCTGATCCCAAGGAAATGCATTGACCTTCACCTTTTTACACATCCAGTGGTGGGTGCCATGATGCTGTGACAACCTGAAGTGTCCATCCCAGGGAACCAGCAGGAAGAAGAGGCCGGTTCATGGAATGCATGTAGTGGAGTCCCTCCAGGACCAGATCCTGAGACAGGTTTGGGGGCAGGAAATTCACCTGTAGGTGACCCCAGGAAGCAGGACTGAGGTGTAGGAGCCGATTCAGGGAGGGAGAGAAATCTCAGTGAAGTATGTGTTTTTGATCTGTTACTGCTGTGGTCAGCTGGGGTTCCAACCACCATGGGGCCCTCTGAAGAGAGTGGAGAATGGTCTTTGCTCTGGAAGCCCTGAGGCTGGATGAGAGGTGAGGGAGGAGGTGGAGGCAATTCCTTATGGAGTGCTGGCCTCAGGTTCCTGGGGCCCAGCGCTGACACACTGGAATCCTTGGGTCAGGAGGGCAGCACCACGGACAGCTCCAGTGACTCTTGGGAGCTCTGGCCAGCTGGCCAGTCAAAGCAGCTGATCAAGGTGGGCTTCCTTGAAGAAGGACACGTAAAATGAGATTTGACAGCTGAAGGGGGGGCTGGATAAGGAGGAGTAAGGAGGTGGGAAAGTGTATCCCCCGAAGTGGAGAAGCACGGGCCAAGCCTCGCAGGCGGGAAGGAGGGCGATGCTCCCGAGGACAGACACATGCCCGGTGTTGGAAGAAAGGTGATGAGGAGAAGAGAGGCAGAGGAGGAGGCAGTTAGGGGCAGACCCCAGGTTAGAGCTCGTGGGCTCTGGAGGAGAGCGAGGCAGCGGAGGCCAGGGCTCAGGACATCAAGCCGGCCTTCTGAAAGCTCATCTTGGCTTCTGTGTAGAGAGTAGTCCCACGTGGGGTGGGACAAGGACACAAGGCACAGAGGCCTTGCTGGGCAGCAGAGGAGACTGGGCTGGGGTGGCCACCTTGGCCAGCTGAGTCTGCTAGATGAGGTGACGTCTCTCCGGACCTTGGCTCTCCCAGCCTGAGTGGGGTCCAGGCCTCACCCTCCAGAGCTGCTGGAGGAATGGGGAGGGTTGCGTCTGACTGGCACACAGCCTCCCGGCTAGCAGCTGCCCGCACGTTCTCCCCTTTCATTCCTCTTCCTCTGCTTTGCCTTGTGACTTCAACACCTGTCCTGCCAAGGCCAGGTGTGTTTCTGGAGGAACAGGCCTCAGGCGTGTATTATTGCTTGTTGGAAGTAGAAAGAGAATGGTCACCTGGTGTAAGCCTCGGGCAGAGCCTTCTCTGCAGGGTGGGATGTGGGTACCCACACAGCCACCCTGCAAAGTGTTGGATGCCGTACATGGGAGAATGAGCTGGAGCCATCTGAGCCTAGCTCAGGACAGTGGCTGCTGCCTTGGCCCAGAGTATTCTCTCACATGCCAGTCTGCAATGACAAGGTGACTCCCAGCACTCCCCCTCCATCCTGACACCCCTGCTGAGATCTTGTCTCAAGTTCCTTGGTAATGAGGTTTCTGAGTCTGAAATCCAGTGCAGCTCCATCACAGCAGCCCTGGGGCTCAGCACTTTGGCTGTCCTTGGCAATGCTGAGGGGGCTAGGAATCCTTGCTCATTCTCACCTGGGTGTGAACTGGGTGGAGAGGCTGTAAATGTGCTAAATGCTAGAAGCAAACGGCCAGGTGGCTTGAGATCCTGGGGAGCTGGGCCTCATTATTTCTGTTAGGCTTAGAGGAGAGAGGATGTGAGGCCCAGAAGCTGAGCTTCCTTTCTCTCTTTCTCATTTTGTACAGTTGGCAAGTTGGGCTATGAACTGCTGAGGACTTGACATGTAGGAGTTTCAAGTGGAATTTCTATGGCATTTAACACCTTGCACAGGCCTGGCATATAGAAGGCATCAAATCAACATTAAACAGATGAAGCATCATTGAGTGGACTGAGATGAATGGGTTGGACTGATGGATGGATGGATGGATAGATGAATGGATGAATGATGGGTGGGTGGATGGAAGAATGGGCTGGTAGGTTCATGGATGGGTGGATGGATAGGTGGATGAGTAGATGAGTGGGTGGATGGATGACTGGGCAGATGGACAGATGGATGGCTATTTGTTCCACCTACTGGGTAAGCCAGTGGCTGGATGAGCAGCTACACTAGGGCACCACTGACCAGACAATGATGAAACTGTTTGGATTGGTGTTTTGCACCCCAGTACTCAGAATCATCCTGCTTTGACATCTGCTTCCAGCCCCAGGTTCTCCAGATCACTGAGCCATGTGGCTGTTGGTCCCAGGTCACTGAGTTTAAGTGACTGCAACATCTATGTTAGGGTCCTGGGTCCTCAGGCACAGGACCATGATAGGAGTTTCCCATTGGGCAGTGAGGTAGAGTGGGATGATGCAGTGGTGGACAGAAACTGGGCTTATTCACTTTTTGGTTATTTGTGGAATCCCTCAGAAAAGTACTGTACTGCAGAAATGCTTGTTTGGATAGATTTGATAGATTTTCTATCAGCAAATCTTTGGCTTTTTCACTCAATTAACTATTTGTTGTCATTTCTAACCACTCTCCTGTTCACCTATTTATTTTTTGTCCACTTATCCTTTACACTTATTTTTCTATCTACTTCTCCCCTAATTACCCATTCACATATTTACCTACTACCCACCCACCATCCCACGCATCTATCCCTAGATCTATCCACTCATTCCTCAAACTAGTCATCCACCCATCTTTCTACACTTACCTGCCTATCAATCCATTCATCCATCCATCCATCCATCCATCCATCCATCCATCTATTCATACATCCATCCATTCATCCATCCATCCATCCATTCATCCATCCATTACTTATCCATCTATCCATTCCACACCCCCATACCCCCATTTACATAACCAGCCCCCACACAGGCCTGTGTCTGATTTGTACTTGTTTGGCCCATAACAGGTACACTGCAAATATTTGAGCATCAAATGCATACAAGTGATCAGACCAAGAAGAGAGAGGGAGAGGCAGGGTACCTGAGGACATCAGGCACAGCCAGGCCAGGCTGAGATAGGGGTGGGAGCCCCCAGCAACTAGGAAGGAATGAGCACAAGATTCTGAAAAAAGGGGTTCAGATCCCAGCCCTGGCACATTGAGCTAGGTGAATTCAGAGAGCTCCCCTCCTACAGAGTCCAGAGTCCCTCCACCCCCAAAGAATAAGTTCTGTGAAGTATTGGAAGATGTGTTCGTTTGTGCTCTCAGTGAGTCTTCTATGATTGTTGTAATAAATTATCACAAATGTGGTGGCTTAAAACTATGCAGATTTACTCTTTTACTGTTGTGGAAGTCAGAAGTCTGCAATGGGTCTGGAGGCCAAAACTGATCTTTCTGTAGAGTCATTGTATTGGTCATTTCTGCTACTATAGTGAAATACTTGAAGCTGCGGACTTTATAAAGAAAAGAAGTCTATTTAGCTACAGGCTTTGCTCCGCCATGCTCTTTAGCCTTGACATTCCTGTCTTGGAGCCCGTGAGCTATGGACTGAACCCCCCGAAACTATGTGTCAAGTCGAACCTCTTTTCTTTTAAACTGTGGGCATTGGGTGTTCTGTCCAGTGACAAGAGAGCCAAACACCTGGCCCTCACCTCTCTCTTTCAGGGGCTCTCATGATGCTGCGGGGGTTATCTGCCCTCTCCAGGGTCATCTCTCCATCTCATGATCCTTAACTTCATCCCATCTGCCAGGTCCCTTCCGCCATGGAAGGCAAACATGGCCAGTGCTGGGGAGGGGTGGATGGACATGTTGGGGATCCACGAGCCACATCCTTTGAGAAGGAGGTACCAAGATGAGGACAGCAAAGGGGAAACTGAGGGAGGAGGCAAGGAGAGCAGCAGCCAGGTGATGGTGCAGAGGTGTAAGAGAAGGGCTCAGGTACGCACAGTCTCGGGGGCCATGCAGTTCTAAGGAAGTTTCAGTGGGGACTCCCAGAGCCCAGCTGATGAATGCATGTCTTATGGATGGGACCTGCCTCAATATCCCTGCGAGGCTCAGTCCCTGGCCGGAAGCAGCTCTTCTAAAAGGTGGATCTGGTGCCAACCTGATGGTAGAGGGAACAACGCCTGGGACTGGCCCCAATCACTTATGTACCCCGTGGTGGGAGGTCTGAGTTGTGTCTTCTCATTGTGGATACAGAAGGTTCATGCACAGGCCCTGGAGAGTGGCGCAAGGGTCCAGCAGAAGAGACTCAGGACCCCTCATCCACACCCTCACTTATTCTGAACCCAGAGGAAGAGGTTTTGGTGTCCACATTCTTTTGCCTTTTGTGACCACTAGTGAGGAGAAAGAGCTACTCTCATTTGTTTAGTCCTAAAAATTGGATCTAAATTATAACTTTCCATTCTAAATCTGAGCTGCGTGATGCAAGTTAAGATTATCCTTTTCTTTTCTTTTTTGGTGTCTCTCTTTCTTATTTCTTTTTCTTCAAAGGACTTTCCTTTAAAGGTGTGAAATTGGGCCGATGGGCTGTCTCCTTGCAAGGACAAATATCTGCACAAGTGTTTCACCGAGTGGGTGCTGACTCTGGGAACAAGGGAAGCAGCTGGTGGCTGTGGCTCCCTCACTCTCCTCAGACTTTGCCCCTCGCAAACATTGCTAATTAATCACCTAATTATTTCCATTGAACTGGACATTGTCTCAAAATAGGGGTGACCCTATATATCACTAGGCAGACCTGGGCAGTTCTGGGCATGAAAGGGGGTGTAACTAATAACTATGTCAGAACAACAGATGCACCCAAGGTGATCCTAAGGAGACTGGGGTGCTTGGACACTACGTGAAAATCTACTCAAGCCGGTGTTACAGACGGCCATCACCAACCAATTACCAAACACATGATACTCTCATCATGAGAGGGAAGATGCGCTCCTCTAAGAACATGTCATCCAGACCTGACCTTCCTGGGATGGGGTTTGCTCAGGACCCTGGGATTAGCTCTGCTTCCTTCACACCCTCTTACACCCAGGGCTCACACTGTCCTTCAGGGAGTGACTTGCCCTTCACTTTGCATTTCTGAGCCCCCATGACATCCAGCGTGTGTGGGTGCCACGCTTCCAGGAAGTCTGAATACCTCACATCTCACAGAACCCTCTCAGGAAGGACCATGTGAGGGTGTCCCCGTGACTGCCTTTAGGAGTCCTTTCCAGCCCCTCCTAGAGTGGCTGGGATGGATAGTTCTGTGCAGCGGGTTCAGAGTTCGGGAGTGGTGGGTCTGCATGAGGGACTCACTCAGGGTGACAGACATCCTTGGCTGAAGTTTGAAGACTAACTCATTGCACTTAAGGGTCTAGGAGGGGTACAAGGATCCCCCAAAGCATCTGACAAGTCCCAGGGAATGCACTCAGATCACCATGAAGGGGATAAAAGACTTCTGTAAAGAAATGATCTTGTAGACAGCATCCACCTCCACTGGCCCGGGAAGGTGCGCTGTGCTCAAGATCCCAGCATAAACTCATGGCAGGGAATTCTTGAGCTTTGAATCCCCGATTCCTTTCTCCCGTTTGAGCACTGTCAGAAACACCTGGGAAATGGCAGCAATCAAACCTTCTGTCTATGAGTAAAGATCTGTACCCATCAAAAAGGTGCGGATAAGTGGCATTAATAATATACAAGAAGCCTGACCCCGCGTGAAGGGATCAAAATAGGCATTTATTCAGCTCCTGATGTTTGCCAGGGTGTTTCTCACATTAACTCAATTTGAACTGCTTCTTTTTATGCTCTCCAAATTCTTTGAGGTAGAAAGTACACAGATGAGGAAATAAACTCAAAGGAGTGTGTGGTTTGATCAGAATATACAGTGAATGCTTAAATTCTTAAAAATGTATGGCACGTTTTACCATGTTATGGTAAAAGACACCTTGCCGTTAACCACCCCCACCAATACTCCTCTTGCTTTGAACACACTCACGGTTCCTGCCACTGTGTAAAGCAGTGCCGGAAGTCTTCTTTAGTGCCTTTTCAAGGTGCGATCACAAATACAGGGAAAGCTGCTGCCAAGTGCCATCCAAGAGCAAGGCAGCTCATAAAACATCACAGTGTGTCATCATCCACCTTGTTCACTGAGCCTGGCACCGCGCCACTCTGGCTCTTCCCCAAAGTCAGAATGACCATGAGAGGGAAACATTTTGCACTGATTCAGGACACAGAGGCAGCCACGACAGCATAGCTAAAGACACGCATGAGAGCGGACTTCCAGGACTGATTCAGAAAGCAGCAGGACCTCGGGGCAAGTGTGGCTGAAGTGAGGGGAGTCTTTTAAGGGGAATTAACAGCAATATGTCTTTTATTGTAATAACTTTTAAACATTTTAAACATTCGCCTTAGTTTTTGAATGCATCGTGTGTCTGGAGTTCGCACAGCAAGGAGAGACAGAGCAGGGACACAAAGATGGGCCTGGCTGGGCCTGGGGACTGTCTCTCTCCTCTCTGCACTGCTCAGGCTGGGGCTGCCCAGAACCACTGAGTCTCTGAACGGCGTGTCCAGAGTGTGCAGTACAGGAGCGCAGCCCAGGGCCTGGAGGCACCAGTGGCGACTCAGAGGCCTGTGGTTAGTTGTACCAATCATCCCAGCACCTGTTACTTCCCAAGCCCTGACCATTTGTTCAGCAGTACTGGGCTGTTACACTGGGGCTGTTCTTATGGTGTTGCTCATTTTAGGGACAGGGAAACTGAGGCTCGGGAAGAGGAGGCCAAGCAGTGTGGTGGTGGCAAGGCCAGTATTCGGATCTCCTTTCTGAGCCTGGTGCTCTTCCTGGTCAGCCCTGATGGAGCGCCCTACCTTGACAGGGACTGTCCCCAGGTTGGGGTGGTCTCCTGCCATGTTCCTAATATTCTAGAGCAAGTAGCTTCAGGGGAGGCCCGGAAGCAGCCTGGAAGCCGTGATGCCCCAGACTGATGAGGGCCATCGTCGCCCTTTGTGACACGAATAACTGTGCATCCTGCGGCCACTGGAAGATGGATGGAGTCCCCAGCCTCCCTGGCTACCGTGCCATGGCCAACCCTGTCTGCCAAGTTCCACGGGGAAGGTGGGCCCTACTGGGAGGTCACCTGTGCATTCTCTTCCATGTCTAGTGAGGGTGTGCTGCGGGGGGCATATGGGTTCTCCCCAAGGGTTCTCTCTGTATTTTACCATACAGAAAACTGAGCCTGGGCCAAAATGGACCTGCTGTACCGAGCACAAGAGCTGGCTCCAAGGCCTTTGTGGTTCAACAGTCAGCCCGACCCTGGCATTTAAATAAACAGTAATGACAAATGGTGAAGTCTAGAATAATGGATTGCAGAGTGGTCACAACCCATCAGCGAGCATTTTGATCCCCAGGCGTGTGACACAGGTGCTGTTCCCCTCTTATAGAAGAGGAGACCGAGATATTTGCTGCAAGACACAAGACTGTAAGAGGCAGGGCTGGGTTTTGAACTCAGGGCCAGATGGGCTCCAGTCTTTGTGTTTTCATTATCCAGCCTATGCTGCCTCTGTTGGAGTGGCTGGGTCTCCAGTTGAGTGCCTCACCTTGTCCTTGGACTCTGTTGAATGTGGAGCAGTGGGTGTATTTGGGGAAAATTCTAGTTATAAGTAGGAACCCTGGCAGAGACCATTTGCCAAGCACTTACTCTGTGGCAGGCATTACAGCAGCACCTGAGTCTGTGGGTAGGGGCTGCTGGTCCCCAGACTGCAGAGGAAGAAGTGAAAGTGACTCCTGCACTTGTCCCCTGCTGGCCAAGCGGCCAGTGAGGACAGGGTCAGGCCTACCCTGTCTTCCTGGGAAGCTCATTCATGCTTTAGCTTGCCTGCAGGCAGAGACTGGTGAGGACCCTCTGGAGACCAGAGGAAGCATTCCGGAGGCTTCCTTCCCTGGCCTGTGTGCAGCTCCAAAAGCCAACAGGCAGATGTTTGGTGTCCATCAGGGAAGCCCTGGCTGTGGCCCTGATGCCAAAGGCCTTCTTGGCTGACCCTGAGCAGCCAGAAGGTCAGGCGTAGTGTGGGATGCCACCTGGGTGGCAGTGAGAGCTTACAGGGACTTTCTTGGTGTAGCCCTTTGGCCTGGGGATCCCTCTGATCCTGCCCTATAGCTTTCTGATATTCGCACACTGGGGTCACTCTAAGGGTGGCTTCTTTAGGCCAACCAGGTGGTTTGAGCTAAGTGGCTGTGTGTCTGGGGAAGGCTGCTCACCCAGTCTTCTGCCCTATGAAGAGATCATCTCTCATCAAAGCTGGACACCATCTCAGGAAGACACGCCTGCCTTCTG